TGAGCCTAATGAAATGAAGATCTATGATCTGCTTGACAAATAATTCAAAATAATAGTGTTTGTTTATTTATTTATATATTGATTTGAGATGGAGTCTTGCTCTATTACGCAGGTTGGAGTGCAATGGTGCAATCTCAGCTCACTGCAAGCTCCACCTCCTGGGTTCAAGTGATTCTCCTGCCTCAGCCTCCTGAGTAGCTGGGATTACAGGTGCCCACGACCACAACCAGCTTATTTTTGCATTTTTAGCAGAGACAGGGTTTCATCATGTTGGTCAGGCTGGTCTTGCAATCCTGACCTCAGGTGACCCACCTGCCTCAGCCTCCCAAAGTGCTGGGATTACAGGTATGAGCCACCATGCCTGGCCCAAAATAATAGTTTTAAATAATTTCAGTGAATGACAAGAGAACACAGATAGACAACTAAGCAAAATTAGGAAAGCAACACATGAATAAAATGAGAAGTTCGACAAAGAGATAGAAACCACAAAAAAGAACTGAACAGAATTTCTGGAGCTGAAGAACACAGTCACTGAACTGAAAAAGTCAGTAGAGAGCTTCACCAACCTACCCAATCAAGCAGAAGAATGAATCAACAAGCTCAAAGACAGGTCATTTGAAGTTAGTGAGTCAGAGGAATGAAAGACAAAGAAAAAAAAAGAGTAACAAAAACTGTGGGATTTTTACAGGACACCATAAGCAAACCAATATACGCATCATAGGAGTTTTAGAAGGAAAAACTCCTATGATGAAATATTTATTGAAAGATGAAATATTTATTATATGTATGAAATATTTATTGAAAGAAATAATGGCTTAAAATTTTCCAAATGTGGGGAGGAAAATGGACATCCAGCTTCATAAAACCCAAAGACCCTAAATAGTTGAAACTAGAGAGGTCTTCGCTGAGATACATTGTAATTAAATTGTCAAAAGTCAAAGACAAAAAGATAATTTTGAAAGTAGTAAGAGAAAAATGACTCATTACTGTCAAGGGAACTTTCCTCTTCACTGACCAAGACTAGTAACAGATTTCTCAGCAGAAACTTTGCAAGCTAGAAAGAGTGGGATGATACACTCCAAGTGTGCAAAGTTTTTACTTTGCTCCAAGCAAAAGTTTTTACTTTGCCACCAACCAAAAAGGTCTGTATTTGGCAAAATTGTCTTTTAAAAATAAAGGAAAGATAAATACTTTCTCAGACAAACAAAAGCTTAGGGAGTTTGTTACCACTAGCCCTGCCTTATAAATGCTAAAAGGAGTTCTTCAAAGTGAAACAAGAGGATGCGAAACAGCAACATGAAAGCATAGAAAAATATAAATCTTACTGGTAAAGATAAATATATAGACAAACGCAGAATAATATATTGTATTGGTAATATGTAAATCACTTTTAACTCTAGTATAAAAGTTAAGAGACAAAAGTATGAGGAATAACCTATGATCATAAAATTGGTTAATGGATACACAATATAAAAAGAAGTGAATCCTGACAAAGTTTTGGGGAGAGGGAGTACAAGTAAAGAGTTTTTGCATGTGATTGAAGTTATCAGCTCAAAATAGAACAGTATAACTCTAAAAAGTGTTGGTTATACAAGGTGAGTAAGTCCAAGAGATCTACTGTACAGCATAGTGCCCATAGTTAAAAACATTGTATTGTATACTTAAAAACTTGCTCAGCGAGTAGATCATATGTTAAGTGTTCTTATCACATAATAAATAAATAAATAAATAATAAATCAAGAGGGTAGAAGGAAACCTTTGGAGATGATGGATAGGTTTATTGCATAGATTATAGTGACTGTTTCACTGGTGTGTACATATCTCCAAATTCATTAAGTTGTATAGATTAAATGTGTATAGCTTTTTGTATGACAATTATTCCTCAATTAGACTGGGTTAAAAATGTAAGCACACACATAAAACAAACAAAACAAAAAGGAAATGTTGGTACTTAGGGAACAAGAGGGGGACTCTGAGTTTGGATAGATAGTGATCTCTTGATTCTTAAGCCTGGAAAGAGGACAAATGCCAAGGTGACTCTCAAGGATTTCCAACAAAAAGGAGACCACATGGTTTCCTTAGGAAATGTTGAAAGTCAGCCTGTCCAACCCTTGCTTGTACAGTTGAGAACACTGGGGACCAGAGAGGGTAGGTGACTTGTGCCAGGCTGCATGAGTCAGCAAAGCCACGATGAGCATTTGGGGCACCTGCCTTGGCACTTGTCTCACTGTGCTACTGCTTATCTTTGTTGCAGAGACAACTTTAACCTACCAGAAAATGTGGAGGCGTTCTTGACTCTTCCCCTTGTCTTACATCTCAAATCCAGTAAGTCAAGAAATCTAGTTGACTCTTTCCTCAAATTCTATCCATAGCTGGCCACCTCTCACGCCCTCCAGGGATTCTCATGCCCTCTTCCCTGGCAGGTGCCTCTGCCATCTCCTAGGATTGACCCTTCTCCCTCCTTTCACTGTCATGTCGCCTACAGTCTGTTTCCCAGGTAGCTGTCAGAGTGATCATTTAAACAAGTCAGGTCATGTCAGTCCTGTGTGCAAAACCTTCCAAGGCTCTACACGGCACTCTGTGTGGGAGCAGATGTCCTTACAACAGCTCACTGGCCTTCCATGACCTGTGTGGAGACCCCTTATCGCTGTATCTCTCTGACCATGCCCATACTCACTCCCTCACTCTCACTGCAAAAACCACACCAGCCTCCTTGCTCTTGGTGGGAACACCAGGCCTGTTTGTTCCCACTGTGGCTCTTTGCGCAAGCTCCTTCCTTGGCACATGTGGCTTGCCCTTACCCCCTTAAAACCTTTGTCCAAACGTCCCCTTCTCAGTGGAGCTTACTCTAACCACAGTTGAAATTGTACCCACTCTTTCTCCCAGCTCTCCTGACTCCCCTTAACCTGTTTCTTTCTTCTTTCTGTAACACTTATCACCATCTAACATATAATTTATTTATCTAAGTTTACTATTCACCTCTCCCACTGTAATATGAACCCACAGAAATATGTGTTTTTTGTCTATTTTATTTTCTGGTATATTCCCAGCTCATCTAAAGGTGGCTGGCATATAGTGCGTGCTCAGTAAATGCTGGTTGACTGAAAGAAACAAATAGAGACCAGCACGAGACAGGCCCTTCCAGAACATCAGCTTTGAATTCCAGTTTCTGTTTTGCTTCCCTTGTTTAGTGTGTCCACCATGGAGAAGCCCTCTCACCTTCAGACACACTCAACTCTTCCCCATGGGTTAGGGTTAGTGTGGGAATTGTCCTTCCGTGGCCAGCAAGCGGTGAGGTAGCCACACGGCCAAAAGAACAAATGGATGGAGGACGTTGTTTCTTGACAGAGTTCAATTTATAGGGTGCCTCCCCAGGCCTCCTCTGCTGTCTTGGTTCCCCTTGGAGCTCTGTGCTGCAGATGCAGAAATAAGGCCCCCATCTCAGACTGATGCTTCCCGGGGCTGGGCCGGAAGCTGCTCCCTCTGTGTCCATCCTTACACTCTACTCCTAGCATGTGACTCTGTCCTCTGTGTCTTTCTCTTGTGAGGAATGTGTGCATGCATGCATGTGTGTGGATGTGGATGTGTATGCGTGTGCACGTGTGTGAGAGAAAGGGACCAGGAAGACTCCTACTCTCTCCTGAGCTGTTGGGCTCTTTTTTTGTGCCCCTTCCCGAAGCCTGTTTCTCTGAGAGAGAGTTCCGGAAGATTATTTTTTATTCTTGTCTTCACGCACAGAGAGCTCTACTCAGGGGCCTGGGGCTGAGGCGGTTTGCCATAATTGCCTCCAGGCTGCTGCTGTGCTGTATAAAAAGGTAGGCACTTTCCCCATTAAGTCCCATTTCCATCCTGTTCTTGGTGTGACACAGAAAGTGCCCTATAGGAAGGGGTGGGAGGCAGGGGTGGGCAGTCCCTGGCCGAGGGCCCTGCTTTGTGAAGGATCTCATGCACTGCTTAATTTCTCTAGGAATTAGGGTTATGCTGTGCCTGGAGACTCTGCACCCCCGCCTCTGTTCTCCCTAAAGATGTTGCCATCCTCTGGGACGTGGCTTCGGTCTTGCCTCCTCGGTGACCCTCTGGCCAGCTATAAGTGACCTTCCTAGGAAGGCTAAGAACATGCTATCTGTGCCCCTTACCTGGTCACCTTTCCTTCTCTGGCTTTGACTCTTCCCTGCCTGTCTCTCCAGTGAGGTCAGGTTCTTCACAGGCAAACTGTCCACCTAGCTTTATTTCCCCCAGCCTGTAGTTGAGGGCCTGTTCTGGTGGGACCTTGTCTGCCAAATGAAGGCACCTGCTCCAGGCCAGCTCCTGAGGACAGTGACTGGGCCTGGCACATAGTGGAGGGTCAGTTAGTATTTGTGGACTAGATAAAGATGCTCTGCAGATATTGGCCACTCCCTCCTGAACATACCTGGTATGTACTAGTTGCTAGAGGGGATATAAAGGTGTATAGACATGACTTCTGCCTTCAAGGGGAGGCAACACAAAGTCCAAAGGCTACCCTATAAGACGAATTGTAGCTAACAGCAATCATAGGGAAAGGCTTGAAGGGTTTGCCCCACAAGTGCCTAACCTGAAAGGATGGGCTGGGTGGGACTTTCGTGGGACATAGGACCCTTGGAGTTTCAAGAATGTGCTGGCCCAAGCCTTGACTTGCCTGGTGGGATGAAGATTCCTGGTCCTCTCACAGGTTGGAGGGGAATTAGGGGCTTGATAGACGTGTCTAGGCCTGTGAGGTTGGAATGGCAGGGGCAGGTTTGTTGGGATGCAGGGTCTCTTTGATATGCCTATTAAAAGAGGCAGGTTTCAGTTTCCCTCACGGTCTGCCTAGCGGGAGATTCCCATGCTCATAAATGGCATTAATAACGTTCTCTGCCTTTTATGTTGTCAGGAGGCCTGTCCCCTGCCCAATAAAAGGCGGGAGCGATAACAGGCCTCCAGTGTGAGACCGTGTCATCCTTCAATCCTCAGACCAGGGGACTGTCCCGCAGAGCAGAGGCATGGCGAGCCAATCCTACCGCATCAGCTCTGGCTGCAGGGTCAAGAACTTTAGCTCCCGCTCTGCCATTGTGTCCAAGCCTGGGGATCGCAGCTGTGTCAGTGCCACGGCCCATCATGGGGGCAGTCCTGGGGGGCTAGGCTACAGGCGCCTGGGAGGCTTTGGCAGTCAGATCCTGTGTACGGTGTGGTCTCCCCGGATCACGGTGAGTTGTGGATGGGCCCTACACAGCAGAGGCAGGTTTGGCTACCCGGCAGGGGGCCTTTGTAAGCTCAGCCCGCCCCACATCACATCTGTCACCATCAATGAGAGCCTCCTCATACCCCTCAACCTAGAGATCGACCCCAATGCCCAGTGTGTGAAGCACGAGGAGAAGGAGCAGATCAAGTGTCTCAACAACAAGTTTACTGCCTTCATTGACAAGGTGGGTCTGTGTGTTGTTTCCTGGGACTGTGGCTTAGGAAGGGGAAAGGGACTTGGAACCTGATGATGGGGTGGTTCAAACTCTCCTGTCACTGACTAGCATGTGGCCTTGAGAACATGGCTGAATCAGGGCCTTTCAAGTGTTGCCATGTGAGTCAAATGCAGTAATGAATCTGAAACTACCAGACAGAACAGGAGGGTTTGCTGCTGCCGCTCACAGGCAAGCAGCAAGCATGATGTGTGTGCGCCGTCCATCTTCCTGATATCACCGGCACACAGTACGAAGGTGTGGGCAGAGCAGGCAGCTCTGCTTAGGCATGTCTCACCTCCCCCTTAGAGAAGATGCTGCCATCCCTAGCATGGAGCAGGAGCCAGGATGCAGAGGGGTGAGAGGATCCTTTCCTGCTCCTCCTTGGAGGGGACGTGATAGGAAGGCTGTGAACCCTTAAAACTTCTGTCCGAGGCACTTTATACCCTGAAGCACATGGATAGATTAAAGGCAGTGAGTGAGAAACTTAAAGCATGGTCCGGAGAGAGGCTGTTGAATTGCACTTTTCTGATGCTGCAGTTTCGGAGTCCTCCTGGTTGAGTGTATAGCTCTGGTTTCCTTTAACCTAATGATGCCCTCCTGAGGAGCTCACAGTCTTTGGGGGAGGGCAGCCACCAAAGTTTAAAGGAGGAGAAGCTCATCTTCCAGGGCTGAATGGTGTGCATATCTACATCCTGGGACTGCATAAGAAGGCACAAACCAGGGCGATGGTGGTTGGAAGTTCTGCTCTCAGATCAATGCTACATCAGAAAAGGGCATATCTGCACACAGAGGTGCTGGGCGTCCATTGTTAACATACCGCTGGCTGTCCAGATTACTCTTCCCTTCCATCGGCACAAAGAAGCTGACCATAGAGTTAGGCAGGTTATTCATTGCACAAGGACATCTAGCAAGAGCAGGGGAGGTTGGAATCCAGCCCAGGCTTTGCTGGCAGAACCGTGCGCCCTGGCAAGGGGCTGGAGGCATCTTTTCCTAATTTGCTCAAAAGCACAGGGAGTGCCCTGAGAATGCAGGCTCAAAGGGGTCTCTGCATGTGGCCTTTTGGGCATAACCCATGAATGCTGCTCTCTCTATTGAGAGGCGTCAGTTCTGGGTCTGGAGAGAGGAACTTATACCACTGCACCAGGCCGGCTTTCCCCTCCCTTGGTGTTGCTGATGGCCACCCTCTTCCCTTCAGCCTTCTTCCCGCAGGTTCCAAACTGCATTGTGCTCCAGACTACAAAGTGCATTGATATGGTGGGTTTAATCCTGCCAGAGGGCTGTCCCATGACCTGGGTCTGCATGTTAAAACCCAAGGCAGATGCCTTTTGGATAATCAGAATTTTGGTTCCTTGTCCCACAAGCATGGACAGTCAGACAGTTGAGGGTTTGTACCAGGCTTGTACTCCCAAAAGGTTGGTGTTGGAGAAGAAATCACCTGCTTTAGGTCTGGTAACTGCAAACTTCAATGGGGGCGGTCACATGAATGATGCTAAACTTGAGAGGTGTGCCCACCTAGAAGGGCAGTAGCTGCTGCTCACTCCAGCCACAGGCCTACCTAGCCTTGCCAGAACTTCTGGTATGTCAAGAGGGTCAGAGAGATCCAGATTCTTACTTGAAACCACTCAGTTATTAAATGTTGGCAACTAATCAGGTCTCTATAAAACAGTGTGCAAGCCAAGTAAAACATACCTGTGGGCCTGATAGGGCCTGCAGCTTCCAGTGTATCACTGCTAATGTATTTCTCCTGTCTTGTTTTACAATGAAATCCAGTGAGAATGAGGCGAAGTGGTCTGGTTGGTAGCAGAGTTAGAGTGAGAGGTCTCCTAATTCCTGGCCTGGGATCCCCCATCCTGGGCTTCAGTGCCCCAGCATCAGAGTAAGGAAGGGCCATGGTGTGTACATTTTAAAATTGCTGTTGTACAAATGCCCATAAACGTATCAGCTTAAAACAACACAAATTTACTACCTCAAAGGCTGATGTTAAGGTGTCAGCAGGGCTGCATTTCTTTTTGGAGGCCCCAGGGAAGCATCTTTTTCCAGGGACATTTAGGTTTTTGGCAGAATTGAGGTCCTTGTGGTTGCAGGATTGAGGTCCCTGTTCTTTTGCTGGCTGGCTGCTGGAGGTTGTTCTCAGTTTCCAGAGGCTGTCCACATTCTTTGGCTTGTGGCCCCCTCTTCCTCCATCTTCAAAGCCAGTAATAGCGAGTTGAGTCCTTCTCATATTTCAGATCCTTCAGTGCAGGCACCTTTTGGGGGGAACATTATTTGCCTACTATGCATAGTATGAAATATTTCTGCAGGATCAGATGTTAATTTCATTCTGTGTAGAATAAATGAATGTTTATAAATAGTGTGCTCTTTCTGGGAGGGGGGATGGGTGGGGGAAGTAACTTGGGGACTACTTGTGACCTGCACTTTCAGACTTGGCCAATAATTTGGCCTCCTGGGGAAGGTCACAGGCTGCTGCAGGGCAGGGGCCATCTTCAAGGGCAGAAAGGGCTCTGGGGGACCAGGCAAACCCTACCCTCAGGCTTCCCCCTTAGTCTCTTTCCTCCTTCCTGAATGGCAGGTGCGCTTCCTGGAGCAGCAGAACAAATTGCTGGAGACCAAGCTGCAGTTCTACTAGAACCGCAAGTGCTGTGAGAGCAACCTGGAGCCCCTGTTCCAGGGCTACATTGCGACTCTGCAGCGGGAGGCCGAGTGCGTGGAGGCTGACAGCGGCAGGCTGGCCTCAGAGCTCAACTGCACACAGGAGGCTCTGGAGGGCTGCAAGAAGAAGTGAGCATGACAGGGCTGGGATGGTTCTAGGCAGTGGAATCGGTCTTAGCTGAGACCACATAACTCCTCCAAAAGCCAAGATTGCTGAAGGCCAGGGTTGTCCTGACGAGCTATCAGACACTTCTGCTTTACCCATCTGCTTTGTCTCATGTCAGCTGCTAGCTCTTGCAGCCCTGTGCTGGGGGCTGGGAAAATATTTATAGAGAAGAGTTCCCAGTCTGGGAGGGATGGGACACACATCAGGGCACAGACTGATGCAGATGAAGAGACAGGAACAAATGAAACAGGAGGAGCAAGGCCAGCAGGGCTGGAGAGGAGGAGCCCGGAGCAGTCAGAGCTAGGACGGGGGAAAAGTGAAAGGCTCTGGAGAGATATCTGAAAATGAACTGGCTGAAGCCATCCCAAGTATCTGATGAACTTGGACTCTTCCTTTATTTATTCTGCAGATAAACCATCAGGTTCTTGTTCTGCAAGGCTCCACAATTCAAATACCAATATAAATCTGGGTTTTCCTGAGTTGTTTGGCTTGTCCATTACCTAGTCTAAACTCACTGGATCACTGTACTTACCTTGTAGATACAGACAGAGTGAAGGGTGATTTTGACCTCAATCAATCCTGGTAATTCTAACCCTCCTTGGGATTCTTGGAAGTTCAGGTTTTACCATCTGGCTGGACCCAGCAGTGGGTCCTCACCTCCTTTGGGGTGAAGCAAATGTAGACACAGTCCTCAGTGTGCAGGCATCAAAGTCTGCCTCCCACTCTGGTGGAGTGCAGGCTGGTAATTATAGAGCTGAGTGCTTACTGTAGCCCCAAATGACCGTGTAATTCAAAAGTTATGAGAACAGGCCGGGTGCAGTGGCTCACGCCTGTAATCCCAGCACTTTGGAAGGCCGAGGTAGGTGGATCACCTGAGGTCAGGAGTTCAAGACCAGCCCGGCCAACGTGATGAAACCCTGTCTCTACTAATAATACAAAAAAAATTTAGCTGGGTGTGGTGGTGGACGCCTGTAATCCCAGCTACTTGGGAGGCTGAGGCAGGAGAATTGCTTGAACCCGGGAGTTAGTGGTTGCAGTGAGCTGAGATTGCGCCATTGCACTCCAGCCTGGGCAACAAGAGTGAAACTCCATTTCAAAAAAAAAAAAAAAGTTATGAAAACCATGCTCTGGGAACTCTGGTCTTCCTTGTGGGGGCAGGGCTGCTCCGGGGCTGTAGTCTCACAGGTAAGAGAAAGAGGGCTGGCTGGTGGAGGAGGGTGGGGGAATGGCTTGAACAAGAAGTTGCTTCTAGGAATTCAAGTCCTTGGATATTGGGGCAGAGGGAATAAAACCTCATGCGGGTGGCTTCATAGAGCTCTATGTTTTGTACAGTGTAGAATTTAAAGGCTCTGTGGAACATCGGTCTGTTTTAAATAATTCCACAAATGTTTACTGAGTGCCTCACTGCACCTCTGGTGATTTAGACCAAGATACAAAGAGATTAAATGACTTGCCTCGGGTTTTGCAGCAACTTCAGTTAAGCTGGGACCAGATACCAGGGACCTGGACTTCAAGTCCAGTGTCCTTCCAATGGGTTCTTTGTGGCTAGGAAATAGAAGTCCAGAGAGGCCAAGCCTCTTCTGCAAAGGCACAGAGAAAGGAGAAAACCAGGGAGTTTGGCACACCTGGGCTCTGGCCTGGCCAGGTCCTCAGTCCCAGGGGCCTTTCCACCTGGCTTGTCTCTCCTCAGGTATGAAGAAGAGCTGGTCCTCAGGGCCACAGCTGAGAACGAGTTCATGATGCTGAAGAAGGTGAGTGACTGTTCTCACATGGGAAGAATTAAATCCTGGACACTGGATGCTCTGATGCTGTGGGCCCTGTCAGGTTCCCATCAGCCCAATTGTTGGTGGTAAGGCACTGGAGCCCCTGGCACAAGAAGGTGGGTTAGTTTGGCCGCAGAAGCCATCGTGGAGCCCATGCAGGAACCCAGACGGTGCCAATGGCGGCTTCATAAAAAGAAAACTTCACCACGCTCCTGCTTGGCTTTTTTTAACTCCCGGATTGGCTGCAATGTTCAATTTTAATTCTGTGTTGCTCTCTTGCGGGCATTGCGTCCCCCTGTTATCCCAGACTAGGGGTTGGTTCTCAGCTTGTTAATGATTTAAAAGTGTGGCCGTCATTCAGCGCAATTGGTGATGATGGAAAAGCCCAGAGAAATAAAACTGTGAATGATTTCCCTTTTGTTTCATGTTGCTGAGTGAAAGTGCATGTGAATGTTCTTTAACAAGCAATTGCTTGCTTGCCAGCCTCCTTATTTGTAAATATCACAGAGTGGAGAGGGGGCTGGTGACAGATCTGCCAATAAAGGCTTGGCCTTGGTCCCAGGCAGGAGACTCAGCTATTTGAGTGCTGGGTGTTTCCTGACCTGGGCTCTGAGGACAATCTACAGAGAGGCTCTGTGATTGTCACAGGCTTGTGCTCTGTGGGTCAGTCTGGCTGGGAGGCAGCAGCCTGACGTTCTGGGCCGTGGCATCAGGCTTCCTTCTTTGGCAAGGTCCTCAGCTCTGGAAGGGGTCAGACCTCTTTCCACTTCGTTTCCACAGGTGGTCTCTTTTATGCAATGGGAGGTAATGTCATTGGCAGATAACAAAGGATCTGTCCCTTCTAGGGGGTCCTTGAAGGTGAAGATGAGAAGTCTAGGTTAGACTTGTAAGTGCAGGGTGGCTGGGCAGGGGCAGGCCAGAGGCAGAGAGGTGGGCCAGGAGGTGGTCTCAGGGCCCAATGAGGAGTGCCGAGGCTCAGGGGTACAGCAAGGGGGACAAAGGTCACTTCCTATCCTCTCGTGTCTGTCTCCACCAGGATGTAGACTGCGCCTGTCTGCGCAAGGTGGACCTGGAGGCCAACGTGAGCCAGTCTTCCTGCAGTCCCTCTACGAGGAGGTAAATCTCTCCCCATCTCTGGAAGAGCAAGTGAGAGAGGTGGCAGGGGAGGATTTCCTTTGAGTGTGGCCTGTCCAGGTTCCTAGGTTCTAGGGAAAACTGTACATTCTTGACTTTCCTAGGCTCGGATATTTTTCCTTCTGTGACCAGAGGGGATTTTTATCTTGTTTGGGTGGAAGTGGGTGATGCTCTTCCTTTAAGATGATTTGAAAGAATGTGGTTAATTCCCACGTCGTGAAGTGGAGCTCTGACACTTAATTTGTTAATTCAGGTAGTGTAAAAACCCAAGCAGATAATCCAGGCCTCTACCTCTGGCCACGATCTGGCTGATTAGATTTGCGCACAGAGCTACAGCTGATCTGGATTATTCAGGCCCCAAGGCGGGGTGGCCCAGGGTGGCGGCATGCACATAAATCCAGCCCTGTTGATCCCTGTATTAGTAGAATTCCACGTTACATTGCTTTGAGGCCACAGTCCCAATTCCAGCCTTCTACTCTTAGAACTACAATTTTAAAATTTTCCTGACTTGCTGGTAGTTTTCTAATTTCAGAGTTGGGACTTTTTTTTTTTTTTTTTTTTTTTAATTTCCTGAGGAGATAGGATCAGAAGGGGATTTGGAGTTGAGGGCACTGGTTGCTGTCTCCTACAGGAAATCCACCTCCTTCAATCACAAATCTCTGACATGTCTGTGGTGGTGAAGATGGACAACAGCCGGGAGCTCAGCATGGACTTGGTTGTGGCCGAGATCAAGGCTCAGTATGATGATATTGCCAGTCGCAGCCGGGCGGAGGCCGAGACCTGGTACCAAACCAAGGTAGTCTGGAGGGCAGGACTGCCCCACTGAGACAGGAGGATAGCTGTGAGCCTCGAGTTTCTCTGGGAAACACACTCCTGCACTCTAGAGGGGCTGCCACTGAGGTCCCGGGTAGAGCAGGGCCAGAAGGCAGGAGAGCTGCGGAACAGCAGCCTGGCTGATTGGGTCGGGAACAGCAGCCTCTAGCCATTGTTTCTGCTGTTTGCCTCTCAACCCACAGTGCGAGGAGGTGAAGGCCACAGTCACCCAGCAGGGTGAGAACCTCCACAGAACCAAGGATGAGCTCAACGAGCTGAACCGCGTGATCCAGAGGCTGACGGCAGAGGTGGAGAACGCCAAGCAGCAGGTTGGGGGACGCCGAGACCCCACTCCATACACCTACCGCTTCTTGTCTGGTTCCTGCTTCCCTCCTATCTTCAAGGACTGCTGTCATCTTTGGAGAGACGTGTATTTGAACTGTGCCAGAGTACACTACTATCATCAGCATGCAAGGGCTCCTGTTCTAACACCTGCCATTACCAAACTTCCAAATTCTTGTGGATCTGATAGGTGTAAACTGGCACCTAATTGTTATTCTAATTTTCATTTCTTTGGTTAACCAGTGATAGGAAATCTTTCTATCACTTACTAGTTATTTGTATTCCCCTTCTAAGAACTGTCTACTCATATATCTGCCCATTTTTCTATTGTGGCTCCCTTCTTTTTTCTTGGTGATTTGCAGTATTCCTTTGTCCATTCTATCTGGATTGTAAGCCTTTGTCAGTACACATGTTGCAATTAACTTTCCCTCAGTCTATCACTTGTCTGTTTGTCCTTTGTTGAACCCAAATCTTTAACCCGGATGTGCCCAAATCCATTTTAAGTTCTTCCTTTAATGGTTTAGACTTAGAAGGTTTTGAGATAATAGAGGTAGTCTCTTAAATTTCTCCCCCATATTAGTTTTATAGTTTTACCTCTGGCATTTAGGTCTGTGATCCATCTGAACTTTATTTTATTTTATTTTTTTTGTATACACAGTGAGTAGGGTTCTAAATTAACTTTTCTACATATTGTAAGAAAATAGGTTATGTAATCCATCCTTTCACCAGTGATTTGTAATACTACCTCCAGCATAACACTGAGCTCCCACACATGGCTGGCTCCGTCTCTGTCTTCTCCCTTCTAAGCTGCTGTTCTTCATCACTGTGCAGGATGTATCACTAGTAATTTGTTGTGGTTAAGAGCTGAGTAGTGAAATATGCAAATGGTTTACTTTTTAGATGTGAAATTAGAGAAGATTCGAAGTTGTCCCTGTAATAATAATGCTTTTGTTCATTTGATTCTGATATGCTTTCTTAAGTGGGGTGAAGGGAGGGGCTGCAGTTAGCGTGTTGGTAGTTGTTGCACATGGGAGCTTCTTTCAGCAAGATGATCTCAGCAGGCCAAAGAGTGAGACCCTGCACAGTGGCCTTTGAATACCTGAGCTTGGCGCTAATTAATTGCATAGCTTAGGGCAAGTCACAGCCTTTTGGAGTCTTAATTTTTTCATTTGTATAATGGGAATAATAATACCTGTTGTGGCAACCTTGCAGATTAACTTTGAAGGTCAAATAAGATAACATCTATGAAAGTACCTTGTAAATGAACGATGGTATATACAAGTATAAGGTAATATCACTAATAATGATCATTCCTATTTCAGTGCTAACATTTCCTCCCTCTAATGGCTCACCTGCCAAACTCAAGTCAGTTTTATGATACAGTGTACAAAAACGAAGGAAAAAACATCCAAATGGGCCATGTCCCTGCCTAGTTAATTTTCCATTGATGTATTTCTTTTAAATAGTATTAAGTTCAAAAGTTAACCATTTTGAATGGAGATAAAATAGGATGACCAAGGCCACTTGAGACCCACCAGAGTCCCCACAACCTGCACCCTTTTCAAACTCCTTCCCTTCTGTCCATCCCCACAGCGCTGCAAGCTGGAGGCCACGGTGGCCCACTCTGAGCAGCAGGGTGAGGCAGCCCTCAGCAATGCCCGCTGCAAGCTGGCCGAGCTGGAGGGCACCCTGCAGAAGGCCAAGCGGGACATGGCCTGCCTGCTCAAGGAGTACCAGGAGGTGATGAACTCCAAGCTGGGCCTGGACGTGGAGATCACCACTTATTGCAAACTGCTGGAGGGCGAGGGGATCCAGTGAGGACGGGGGCTCCAGGGTCCCTTCACGTCCCTACTCAGAGCTGGACTGAAATCCTCCAGGAAGAGAATGTTCAAACTGAGAAAGACTCTAGAAATCATGGACTCCAACCATGTCCCCACTTTGCAGATAGGGAAACTGACACCAGAGAGGTGAAGGGGCTTGCCTAAGAGCACAGCCAGTTAATGGCTCAGCTAAAATGTACCGGTCTCCGGGCTGGCCACCGATGCTCTTCTCCCTCCTGCACGGCCCCTCGGGCTGGAACCTGAAGCTCATTCCAAGGCCACTACTTTACCCTCTTGGCTGAAAGGACGTTTCTGTAATCAGCTTCCGTGGGTTCTTAAAGCTGGAATCATTTAGAAAATTAGTTGAAGGCCATTTGATTTGGGATGTGAAAAGAATCCTATCAGCCTAGATAGCCTGGTGTTCAGGACCAGAGAATAGAAATGAGCAGCACAAGTTCTGTCCTTGCAAAGGAAGACAAGACAGACATACATCAGTCCTCCAGGGCCTGGGGTTAGTGGCCCAGGGAAGCTGTTGGAGAAGGAGGCTGCCTTCTCAACAGCTGAGGAGAAGCTGTGCTAATTTGAGCCAAGAACTGAGGGCAGATGAAGCCAGTGTAGGGCAGAGTGATGTGTATTTACACCTGGGATGGTTGCGTGGGCCTCTGGACTTGGGACGGCCACATCATTAGAGCTTCTAACTGGGTCCCTTCAGGGTGGGGAGGATAGACTGGGTAGTAGAGTATAGAGGTGGAGAGTACAGGCCATGAGCTCACTCTGGGTTCAAATCCCAGTTCCACCACTTATTAGTATGTGACCTCTTTATACCTCAGTGTCTTCAGCTGTAAAACAGAGATAATCACAAAATCCACCTCATAAGGCTGTTGCAGGATTAAGTGAGTGTTAATGGAACATAGCAAGCCCCAGTGGGAGGAGGTGATTGTCAAGAGATGATGGTCAGGCCAGGCTGCCCCCATGGAGAGGGAACTCATAGGCCTGGTCGGCTTTAGAAACCTTCCGTGAAGCGGCACTGAGGGCAGCCTGGCCACGCTGCTGGACTCGCTCCATGCTTGACTCAAGCACACACACTTTTCTGTCAGCTTCCTCGGGGCTCTGGGTGAAGTCACAGGAGATCTCTCTGCATTCGGACACTTAAGGCCCCAACCCACTCACTAGCATTCAGTGAGCAGCTGGCACTTGCACTGATTTTCATTATGATACTAATAATGAACGGATTAATATATCAGAATTATTAGCACACATCCCCAATGATTGTGATTTTAAAGTTGATTTAGCATATTGTGCTATGTGTACTGTGGCCATGGACCTTTTAAGAGACTGCCTCCTCTTGGCATTTAAAACACTTAATTTAATTACATGAAGTAATGCTCATTGCTGCTAACACAGAAAATAAGAAAACAAAAGCATCCAGAGCCACTCAACTCAGAGATAGCTGTCGCCAGCATTGTGGTTCGACAGGCACCACCACGGGCACTGTGGGTTCCTTGAAAGGGCACAGTCCTAAGGCTGCGGCAATGCCAGACTGAGTGGCAGGAAACTGAGCCAGATGCATACATCCTCACTCAAAAGATGAGTGAAGAAGTGTTTTGAGCTGGGCAGAATGAGGCAGGGTAGAGCTTTCCTGGGGAAAAAGGTTTGAAGTGGGAAGCTACAAAAAGGGAGACAGAACAGAAAGTGCAGAGGTGTGAGGGAGGAGGGAGTGTTTATAAAAAGCTCACTGCAGTGGCATAAATGTCTCATCATAAATGATACAGACATATTTCTTGAGACAGAGTCTCACTCTGTCGCCCACGCTGGAGTGCAGTGGTGCAATCTTGGCTCACTGCAGCCTCCTCCTCCCGGATTCGAGTGATTCTCCTGCCTCAGCCTCCCAAGTAGCTGAGACTACAAGTACCTGCCACCATGCCCGGCTAATTTTTGTATTTTTAGTAGAAGCAGTGTTTCTCCATGTTGGCCAGGCTAGTCTCGAATTCCTGGGCTCAAATGATCCACCTGCCTCCGTCTCCCAAGGTACTGGGATTACAGAAATGAGATGTTTATAATGTTGGTAGGAAACATATTGGATTTCCTTACTATGTGCCAGTCTGCATTTTAGGCACTTTCCATGTGGAACTCAATCAGACTTTACAATAATCCTTTCAGACGAGTATTATCATCCCCATTTTATGCCAGGGAAATTGAGGCACAGAAAGGTTAAGCGACCTGCCCAAGGTCACCCAGTTAGTAAGCGGCACAGCCAGATCTAAGTCCAGGTAGCCTGGCTTGAGAGTCCAGGCTCTTAACCACACCATACTCTTCTTCAGCCTCCCTCTGCATTGAATGAAATCAGGTAGATATCTGGGGTATCATTTAATATCCTGGGATAAAAATGAATCTGTTTGTGTAATAGGCAAGCTTTTTCCTGCTCAGAGACATCTAACTAGGTAGCAGCAGCTTCCATCACCACTTTGGCTTTGCTGGCATTTCCAGCCAAGGGACCAGGAGGATGCCCCCCTCATCTCTACTTCTCAGTTCACCAAATTCTATGGCCAAAAGCCAAACATGGCATAAACTGGCCTTTTGGATCCTGAAACCTAATATACTCCTGTCCTTTGGGGATCCCAGCAAGCAGGACCAACACTGATGCTGTCTGCAGCAGGTGGGTAGCCTACCCCTGCCTCTTAGGGCCCCTCCCCTCCTTCAGCATGGAGGAGAATAGGTTTGGTGCAAAAGCAGAGGAACTCAGCACTAACTGTACACTCTCTCCTCTCCCTGCAGGCTGTGTGAAGGCGTGGGCTCAGTCAATATCTGTAAGTTGGGTATGTGTGGGCATGGCTCTCTGAGGTGTCAGTAATCTTAGTATTAGATTGCATCTAACTGATGACCAAGCCTCTGTCTATGGAGTGATAGACAAGGGACTCCTGAGCTGATGTCTCTGGGATCCAGACAAACTGATGACCTCAAATATTTGACCATACATGGATCCATCTGGAATATCCATGAAGTCTGAGTTAATGAATGGGGCAAATTCTGAACCCCTATTTGGTTCTGCAAAAGTAGCTTAAGCCTTTTTGTTACACACAGAATACTACTCAAGTGGTATCATGTTCTAGTAAGAAAAAAATGTTAGGTTTATATTCTGATCATGTGGGTCTCTGCAGGCAACGTGTAAATCTCTATCTAGTAATCCAATGTACACACAGCCCCTGGGCCAGGTGTCTGATTCCCATCCTTCCGTTCCCCTCACCTCTCTAGCAATCATATTTCTAGATGACTCCTCTACTGTGATCTATCAGTTTTTGCTCAAAGATTGTGTGAACACCTCTCAACATCAGCCTGGTCCAAGTAGAGTTTGGAGTGCAATTTGCAAACCACACTCCTGAAGAAGCAGATGGCAATGGGTTCAGGTTTGCCCATAGTTTAAAAAGACTCATGTTGCTGGTCCCTCAGAGAAGGAAGAGAATTAATCATTGGTTCTAAAGGATTCTGGGTCATAACGTGTCTGAGATGGAAGAGAATTCTGACCTGTGTCTCTGTCCGCAGGTGTGAGCCGTTCCCAGGGTGGTGTGGTCTGCGGGGACCTGGACTCTGCTGCCTCCCTTCGCTCAGAGGGTGTGGCCATCAGCAGTGGTGCACTGTGTTCCCCCTCTGTGGTGGGGGCCTGCTCCAGTGCCCGATCTGTGTGGTTTGCGTAGAGGGGGTGGGACTGTGGACTGACATGTTCTGATGGGGGCAGTGTAGGTTGGGGAGTGGAAATCTTTTCTCCTGCATGCCCAAATGTCAGTTCAGTAATTTCTCCTTACAGAGAACCCACAACTAACTCTCCTGTTTCCTTCTTATTGGAGTTAGCGATTTACTCTTTGGGTGTAAACCCTGGGTTTGACGTTATTTTCACTTCCATTTCTTCTCCCCCTCCCTGTGGTCCAGGAAAGAAATAGAAAGGTTTTTTTTGATATAAATTGTTCAGTCGTTGTCTTCCGCAATTAACTTCGGCTAACAGATGTTTGTTAAGTCCTGAGTGTGCCAGATCCTCTTGGAAAGGAGCCAGTTAGAGTGTGTGGAAACACCTCTGTGCTTTGCCCTCGGATGAGAGGGGCTCCAGATGCTGCCTCAGCATGGAGGGGCGGTGGGGGTGTGGAGCTGGGCTTCTCACTGGCTCTGAGAGATTGTATATTCCCAGAGTTCCCCAACTATTCATATGTCCAGATTGAAAGACTGACGGAGGCTAATCAGCTGGGTTTATACTGTTGGTTGCCTGGAAGTTCACTGTATTTGCATGATTCCTGTATGGCTCCTTCTTTCTTTTGGTGTGCTCGATTAAATATCAATGACAAAAGACTTTTTCTTAGGTGCCAAATTAATGCCTGCCTCCTTCATTGTCTTTCCAACCCACTCAAAGCCCTGACTGTCTTGGTGCATCTCACAATGTGGTCCAAGGACCACCACCTGCATCAGAATCCCCGTGGGGTAGTTGCTAAACGTGCAGATCGTGGGCTCCATCTGGAACTCTCAATCAAAAGTTCTAGAGATGAACCCAGGAATCTGTATTTTAACAAACTTCCAGGTGATTCCTAGAAGAACTAAAGCTTGAGAACCACAGGTTTATGTTGGTAGAGGGAAGAGGAGGGTCAAATAATTCTGGCCGTGGAAGTAACTGTCCCTCCGATTCTCACTGGATCGGTCTAGCCCCTTTGCATTTCTCCTTTGTCTATGCTAAAAGGTCAGAGCCACAGTCTGGGCCACACACACACCAGGGCAGGTTGTGGGCAAAGGTACAAAAGGGGTGAGGAAGGGAGCCTGTATTTGTTAAACACCTGCTAAGTATCTGACACATTATATATGTATTTCATTAATTTCTCACAGCAACGAGAATATTATCCTCATTTTACATATAAATAAATTAAAGCTCAAAGAAGTAGCTTTACTAAGTTACCCAGCTAGTCCAGAATTCCAACTCAGGTCTGGGGAATGCCGCTGCTCATAAATGTTTCCACAGCATTTCCCTAATTGCTCCTCAGGCTAAAAATTCTGGCTCATCAGATGCTCCTGGAGGAGTTCTGCCTGATGCTCCTTCACCAGCTGTCTGACATTTTGGAGACGAGATGGAAGGTGACACATAGGACCTCCTAGAAGCATCTGTAGAAACATCTCCCCATACCCTCTGCTCTCCAAGGATCTTGGACAGATCGTGTTGTGGGGCGGTTAATACAAGCTTCTTGTATAGGAACCCAGGATCAAAGCTCAGACCCGTGGTTGGAAGGCATTTGCCCTTCCAACCTGGTCAGAGGCAATTGATTGGTGAACTCTGTGTCTGGCCTACTCTTGAACTGACAGTTCCCTAGAAGTCCTACCTAGGGCTGTCTCACCTGTATGTGATAAATGGAGACAGGGGTTTCTGAGGGTCAATTTTCTTTCACTTGTACAGGAAGAACTATTGCTCCCACCTTATTTTATTTGGAACTTTTTTTTTTAAAGTTTTTTTTTTTGTTTGTTTAAAGCCTGACTGGGTAGGAAAAATTTTTGCCACAAGAATGCATATCTGATCTCATGACATGGAAAAGTCTTTAAATTTTTATTTTATTTTATTCCTTTTCTTCTCCAAGGTGCGCACGCACACTGCCAGACCTTCCGATACCAGCTCCGGACCCGCTAAGGCAATGGTGTGGCACCCTGGCCTAGGGGCGGAGTCTGGGGGAGCAGGGTCTGGCCTTTTGACTACCCGTGGGTTCACTCCCCACATCCCACTCACTGCCGACGGGCAACCCCCTAGGGTCTTTAAGAAACCTCTGCGCCAGGATGCACTAGGCACCTAGACTTCGGAGAGGAGGGCGCCGACCCTGGCCAAAGGGCTATGGGCGTGTCACGGGGCAGCCCTGAGCAGCCAACAACCCCCAAACACCCTGCCCACTACCCCAAAACGGCGGGCGGGTCGCGTCCAGCTCGCCCTCCTGTCCCTCCAGGCCCCTCACCACTGGGTGGGATTGGAGGTTACGGGCGGGACGCGGGGAGCTCTCGGGCAGTGGCGAAGCGGGGCGGCCAGGGCCCAGGTGTGGAGGGCGGGCGCATTTGAGGGAGGCGCGGGCGGCGGGATCCTGGCGGACGGCAGATGACTCGGGAACCGGTCCGGGGCCAGAGGCGCCAAGGCGGGAACCCCGCATGAGCCAAGGACGCAAGGCCCTTGAGGATCTGATCCCGGGGTTCCAGCAGAGGGTCGCCGCGCCGTGCATCTGGAGATGCGCCCAGGGTACCTGGTGGCCGGACGTGAGGTGGGCAGGCGGGCAGGGCAGGGCACGGGGCGACCGCGAGGAAAGCGAGGGTGGGGGTAGGAGGGTGGGGGTAGGGCGGCCCCTGATTCTCGTGAGTGGGGAGGTGGGGGACAATGGTGGCCTCAACGGGAGACAGGACCAAAGTGGGGACCGGCAGGGAGGACCTGCAGGTCCCTTGTTAGGCTGTAAACTGTTCCCACCCCAGTGACCTGCGAACCACGAGGCTAGGGAAGTCCTGCTGGCCTGGACTGTGACTCGCCTTCCAATCCCGAGTCTGTCGCACCCAGAGGGCCAGCACTGCACGGGCGCCTTAACAGAGAAGAGCCTTAGAACGGTTCTCCTCGGCCACGCAGTTCTGATGCCTTCAGACTCTGTTTCAGGGACCACAATGGCCAGGCAGGGACTTGACCTGGGCTGACCGAGGTCTATCTTAGTAGGGGGGTGCTCCCCTTGTCTCTGTCTCCCGGACCAAAGGGTCTTGCAGCGGCCTGCCCATCACAGTGGGGATCCCACCGAGCAGCGGTAAAGCCAGGTTAAAAGGGTCGCCAGAGTGACTCTGACGACACTTTGGGGGTCTCAGGGGGACATTCACTGCCCTGGGGCATGGGACTGTCGAATGGGGAAGGGTCTGTGTTTCCTTTTTGTTGGTGGTGGAGGGTGGCTATTTATCTGAGTGTCTTGGGTATTTTCTTCATTTTTAATGCATAAGCTTATCCTATGAGTGCTGTGCTTCCCCGCCTCACTCCACTCCCTGGCTGCTCTCCTGCCAATATGAGGGAGCCCCCGGTTTTTGAACAAATCGGAAATGAGCAGGGATTTCCAGGCATACACAGGTTGGGGATTGGGGGAAGCAGGAAGGAGGCCTGAGGCTGTGTGAACTAAGCCTATCCCATTGCTTGTTCTGCCTGGCCCATCCCTACACCCAAGGAGAGTGGCGCTTAGTGCCCATGTTGTTGCTCTAATCTTCAATGAGCAAAGCACTTAGTACAGTCACCTCCTAATGCTTATGTTCCCAGAGAGAGGCAGGGGTGTGAATAACCCAGACAAGGGGACATGAATTCCCACATGGTCATGTCCGTGTCTACACAGAACACACTTGGTAATTTTCTTGATAATGTGGTTAATTTGTGTTCCTAACTATGCTTGTCTAAGGTGAGTAGTAACACAAAATTCTATTTTTCTGAGATCCCAAAGATTGAAGCAGGGAACAGTTAGAAACACGGGCTGGGGGAAGGAACTCTCTTGGGCATAGGTGTTTGTGAGGATGGGTTGAAGCAGAGTGGGTTGAGAATTGGTGGAGGAGTATTAGTGGTTTCAGGAGAAAGGAAAAGATGACAAATCCCAAGTGTATCTGTTTCTTTGAAAGGATTATTTTCCATTCTTCGAATCCTCTGGAAGTTTTGTGTGTTTGTGGGCAAGGATATCATTAATATTTACATAAGAACTGAATACAGACTGCAGGTCTAATTTTCTCTGATGCTGGTGTTAGCTTGGTTTGTGATGTTTCTAAGGAGGAGGGAGTCCAGGACAGAGATCTGGGATCACTCCCATGGCCCACTTTATTGTTTGGGCCTCTTGAACTTCTGGCTTTTCCTCGATCTCTCGATTTCAGGTCACTTGACGTCTTCAGAATTTTTTCTTTCTGTTAATCCCTAGTCACCTTTGGACTATACCCTTTGCATTCTGTGGGGAATAGTTCTTTGATCAGGAGAGAGCTACAGGAGCCCTAGCATCCTTTGAGCCAGAAGAGCTTGCTATGGGTTTTTGCTGTTGGCTGCAAGGAGGGCTGGGGCAGAGGCTTACCTCCCCATAAGCAAAAGGCACCTCTGGCCAGCTGAATCTGTTGAATGGTATTTGCGCACAAAGCACGAAAATGTATCAAAAAAAGTTATTCCTATCTCCCAGGTTCTGGCTGTTAGACTTTTCAATCCATGGTGCCATTATTTTTTGGGTATCAGATTTGGCATTTTAGTTTGCTCAGCCCAGATCCATGGGAGCATTAAGCTGTTTTCCCCAAGCATAGACTCACTGTGGCATCTCAGAACCACGGGAGACAGCAGACCTGGTAAGGACTCTACCCACTCATCTCACAGACCCCAGACTGACATGCAAAGCACAGAAGCCACTTTCTGTCCAAGGACTCGCCGAGACCTGGCAGTCTTGGCAGAATTGGGGCTCAAATTTCCATTTCCTGATGTTTCAGCCCCTGGGATTTAACATTTCCTGTGGGTGAATGATGTCCCTTAAGTTGAAAGTTGGCCTATTGTGATTGTCACCATGCTGTCAGGGCCCAAAGAGCTGGGAGAAAGGAGGCAGCAGGCAAGAGACTTGGAGGAGGCCCGCCAGGTGTCTGCTAGCAAACCTCAAACAGAGTAGCAGCCTGAGCACTCAGAAGCAGCCAGCAGCCTCCTGTGGGGCTACAGCCCTTT